AGAAATGGAAATGACTCCTCCCAAATTTTTGATTTTTTTAAAATAACTTACTAGCATGCGAATGCCAATGATCTTTCATATTTTAGAACAATAATGTAACCACTTGCATTACAGATTGTTTTTACTCTATTCTATACCTAAACTAGTACTTCGTACTGGTACTGTCTTAAGTACTGTATAAGTCAAAATTTGCCTTAGATGGTGAATTCAGTATCAAAAAAATGCTTAAAGTATCAACCTATAAGATTCAGGGGATTGGTGTAATGATTTAAAGTTAGAAAGAAGCACGCGTGTGATTTGCGACAAATTTTTAGATGAACAAGTTTCCAAACTCGCATTGAAAAGTGCAGGTGTAGCGGAGTAGCGGTTTCTTTTCATTAAATTGAGATATCGAACTGTAATTGTAAGCTCAAACGTCCGTAGAAATGGTAAAAATTGAGAGAAATGCAAACACGGATTTCAGAGGTGGGAGCATGTATTGACCGGTCACACCCGCCGTGTGGTCCTTGTCATGATCGGCAAAACAAAGAAGAAAAAGAAAATTCAGTGTGTAAATGATGATATCTCAATTTGTTTAAAAACAAATCATTGGCTTACAATGTCATTGGATCGACCATATACGATAATAAAGAGCAATTATAGAGTGATTAAAAAGGGATACATCTAAAATTAGATACTGGTATAAGCCATTAATACATGCACTACGATGTTTGAGTCTTACTGCACACTCCTTCATAATTCGATAACCAAGGATAAAACCACAGTAATTCTATATTCTACACAGTACATGTGTTCGTTAAATCAAGCATAAAATGCTCAGGTAAACAAGTGGCCCATGGGCACCTAATGTAAGCACTGAGTCTGAAATTACAGAATTTGAATAATCGGTAATGATGGAAATAACGTTTTTTTTAAGAAGATAAAGGGGGATGTAACTTTTTGGCCTAAAATTTAAACTGAAATTTTCTTTATTTTAAAAAAAATCATGTTATAATATAACTGCATATTAATTTGGATGAAATAAAAAAGAATGAATAATATGACACTTTCATAATTGATCAAATCGTGAAAACCGTGATCCGTATTTGGCTAAAAACCGTCTCAAAACACCCGCTCCGATCAAGTTTGTAAAAAACATACACCGTATAAGCAACAACTTTCGTTCATTTTGAAATAAAGAGCAAAACATTATGTTAAAACATCGTTTGCACTTGTACCAAATGTGGAAACGTCACCCTGAATCGGATTATTTTCTTCCTCGTATGCTACCTCGTATCCTCGTATACCTTCTTTTTCTTTGATTCATGCACCGATTATTTAACAAAAAGATTATTTTTAAATCCCCTCACCTACTGAGGAATTTAATTTTAAGTAGTAATTTTAAAATGCACCATTGATTTTCCGTGACTAGACACAAAACATGTCCGTTACAATGATTACTTTCTGTTTAGGATTTTGTCAAATATTACTTTTTGTGAGAGTATTGTCTGTAAGTACCTACTTATTTTACGTTTTAAGAAAAAATGCAATAGGTAAAGCAACTTTATTTGTACTCAGTTTATGCTATAAAATGATGATAAATATGTAACAGCAATTCAAAAATTAGTAGATTTAAATTGCAATAATCAAATCGATGCTCTGCTCAGGAATATAAGTTGAAGACAATAAGAGAGTAACGACTCTTGTTTAATTCTTTCCTGTTGCAATGCTAGGGATACAGGTTTAAGATATTTGGCATGTATATTCCATTTTTTAAACTAACATGGTTTAAAGGGTCGTAACTCTTGTTGAAGCTAGAGTAAAATATTCGATGCAATAATCCAGGGTAGCAAGGGTTATTTGTTAATGCCAAACATGTGCGGAGGTACTCATATACATGCAGTCAATAATAATATGCACATGGGGACAGTTTTCTGAGGGCTAATTTGTTACATTTCATATCGTTTTAGTTCATACATGATCTGGATCTTTGCATGATCTGGAAATAATGGAAAAATCCGTCAACAATCCAGTGTGTGATTGAGGGTCAAACAATTAGTATGAAAAAACATCAATCAATATTTAGATGGAGTATCGGATAGATTGACAACGTTTTTTTAATAACATGTCCACACTTTTCAAGGACATCGAAACGATAAACAGAATAATGTATCTAGTCAACATGGATCTATTATTTTAGTCAACTTGATAAAATCCACGGTCAAAAGTGTTGGGGGAGTAGAGTTTGGAATGGACATATTTCACTCCATTACATATGTAATGAATTTGCACATTCTTATTATTTTGCTTGCCTAGTGGTACCTGAGAGAAGTTTAAAGTGTGATGGAGCATGGACCTTATATAATTTTATCTTTCATAACATAAGAACTGCTTTGGGTTTTTAAATTTCATTTAAAGCTATTTGATCATTTCTTTATCAAAGGAATGGAAATGACTCCTCCCAAATTTTTGTTTTTTTAAATAACTTACTAGCATGCGACATCCAATGATCTTTCATTTTTTAGAAAATATTGTAACCAATTGCATTACAGATTGTTTTTACCCTATTCTATACCTAAACTGGTACTTAGTACTGGTACTGTCTTAAGTAATGTCAACTTCATTTGATATAATCCAGTTTAAACACACAATGAATCAATTTCTATTGATATGATGATGTATAAACCACTCAGATTACGAAGTCGATCCTTATGTCGCGGATTCGAATCCCGCTGTCAAATCCATGGAGACCAGTCCTTCGAATGGGACCAGAAAAACTAACGTCCCGTTTCGCAATAAGTACTGGCACTAAAAAGACCCCTCATTGCGCGCTCAGTGGCATTGAGTGCCGAGTATAAGTGAAAATTTGTAGTTATCCACCGGCAACTGGTGAGGTTTCCATATGAGTGTTCAACATTCTCGAGAGTGGCGTTAAACAACAAACAGACAAAGGAAACCCTAACCCTGACCCTAACCATGAATTAAATTGCTGATTGAATGAATCCATTTGTCCATTTTTTGGGGGGAATAGCTACAACACAATATATATGCTATGAGATTACTAATTATACATTGTAGAATAAAATGGTATTGCATTTGACAAAACGAGTCATGCTACAATGTATACTGTAGTGTAGTGATTTTTTTATTCATATAAATGGAAAAAAAGTTCTGTTACAAAACCTCTTCCGGGAAATTGAAACCTCTGACATTTACAACAACAATTATTGGTAGCTACAATTAAATTATTTGAAATTATTCTTTCTGAGTTTCATCTTTACCAAAATGAAAAAAATATAACACATGCATATTTTTAAAAATGTGAAATGCTTTAGAAGTATACATACCCTGTGGAGAAATTTATGCAATGTTTTAATTTATTCATTCTTTAAGCCTGAAACTCCTGACAGCTGCAATGATAATTGTATTATATATAAATATTTTTTTTATGAAAAAGATTATGTATAAATTACAGTATTTGATTGGCTTAATGAACATGTAATCAAACAAAAAATGAATATTTTTTTCATTAGAAATTCTAGAAAATTATAACCATAGATCTAAAGTGGAGGTTCTATGTTTTCAACATAATGATACAGATATTTTTTTTCATATTATGTAGCTTGTTTGAAATTGTATCTCAAAGGACAACAACATTACATGTTTAGTGAACCATTGACTGAAACAGTGAAAACATATAATCTAATTTAGTTGAAATTTGTATGACATGAACTGATGAGGGATGATTTCCATTACTACACATATTGTCTTAAAGAAAATGAGTTAATTGACAAGAACTATGTATATATTAATTGCAATTCAATTTCAATAATTTTAAAAAAGTGTGCATCTTAGTGTGGGGAGGGGGGAGGGGGTTAACACACAAAGCACTGTATTACAGTTTCTCACGGACTGTGAAAATACATCTAAATGAACACGCACACGCTCGGTTTTTTTCTTTGATGTTAACAAAAGCATGTCTACATATGCTATATCTACATTCGCATATATATATATATATATATATATATATATATATATATATATATATATATATATATATATATATATATATATATATATATATATATATATATATATATATATATATATATCCCTGGCCTGAAATTACAGTGATGGATCTACAGAACTGGTCGAGATCATTTTAGTTTTCCATAATTGTTCAAGAAAATGTCCTCATATTCTCGTTAAAGGGATAAACAATGCCTTGTCTCTTATTTTATCTCTATTCTCGTTAAAGATTGCCTGGTTGTTGCATTTAAATCCACTGCATATCTCATCTGATGTCGCCACGTTTTTAGATGTGAAGAATATTCCGTGTTATCGAGTGCAAGGCTGAAGCCTAATGCAGGCAAACGACACATTAAAAAGAGAATAATTTTAAAGACATGCTATTTTATATGAGAAAATGAGAAAATCACTTCTTATTTTCTTTTTAAACATGAAAGTATTGCCGTTTTTTTACAAATTCTTACAAATGGTAAATAGTTATTTTGAGCCCTATTTCCTTATATGGATCAATCAGGGCGGAGAAACTGTCATGACGTCAGATCTCATCAAGACCTCATTAATATATATATATTTTTCTCATGCATTGCCTGAACTGTACTAGTGAGAAATGATGACATTAAATGAGACAGCTGAAATTCTTGTTTCATCAATTTGTTCGTCAATAATTTACCCCCATTTTAAACATTGTTCATAGGTAGATTATGCTCTTGCGTATCGAATGAACTGAGATATACATGTATAAACTTCGTATGCAGGTGATGAAGGAATATTGCTGCAAAGGTTGTGGAAGTTGACGAAAGAAAAGTTAAAGTCATCATGTTTATCATAGATCTTTGTTATAAGATGTAACATGTCATTCAATAGACACTTTTTCATGTTTGGAGCTGGTTCCTTTAAATTGTTAAAGTCATTCGTCAATTGTAAAACCCCTCTTACTAATACTCCATTATGTATAGTTGTTTATAAGACATATTATACAAAGAAAGTTTTTAAATAAAATCTTGTTAGTATTAATTTATGTCAATTTAGTTAATTAACCCGCATAGTTCCGAGTTTTTATTTCTAGTTTCACAATAATGGGATTCAAAGTGTTGAAACGTTGTATTTATAAATATGGATGGTTGTAGAAAGGTAGATTTATGAACACCAGAGACTGTCTTGATGTACTATACATTTATTATCTGCATCATTTATGCTAATTAATTGCTTATTCTTCAGGACAGGTTTCCTGTATACAGTGTGACTTCATGTCCTCAGAATGACATCGAATGGCGAAAAGCATCCGAGAGATTAAACTGTTCTCTGCATTACAACAAAAAGCTTTACCGATATCACTGTTTGCCAGACTCTAAACTAACTAACTTGGTGGAATTTTGTTACGATCATATTCGACCTTTAGTGCCGAAAGGTATGAAAATCAAATTTTATTCCACAAGAGAAAGCTGCTCATTTGAAAAAAATTAGAAAAAAAGAAATAGTTTCGTGATATATTTATTTATTTATATCAGCAAACGTATTTAATTACTTAAGATTATGCAAGTAATCTAACAAAAAAAGTTCTATAGTAAAGTATAGTTATCTACAATTACATCTTACATAGTTTAATTTTTTAAATTAATGTGAATAAAATCAGTTAAACATGGATATCTTATTGTTATGTTTTATTTTCTCCAATTCATACATGTATATTATTTATATACATGATATTATAATATTATTTATTCATATATATTATATCTATTGTGTTTCAGAGATATTCAGGCTCGAAATCTCAGTTCTTAAGTACAATTTCATAGAAAATCACAGTATCAAAGTATTTACTCTGGTTAACTATAAAAAAAATTCTTAGTGAAGCAGAGATCCTGTTCTTGTGTTTAACTAATCGGGTTTTTTATACTTAAAATTGCCAACAAAGGAAAAGATTCTGTGAACATCAATATCTTGTTTAATTATTTTATAATTCGGTCTTGCAGTCTATCATATTTCAAGTTTAAGTATGTATCCTGTATTTCCAACACATATTTCTTAAATGTTGATTTTCACTTTTTTGAATTATAAACAAATGTTCCATGCATAGATATTGAATATATTGAAAAAAAACCTTTAAGATAATCTTGCTCTTCCTTCAAATAGAGTTTCATGAGTGACAACGCTTCATTTCTATTAAAATAAAGTAAAACATAATATCACAGTTGGGTTTTTTTATAAAGGGAAAGAAAGTAAACTGCCAGCAATTATTCATTGTTGTAAGAATATATATGAGTAGCATTTGATGTGTTTAGATTTAAGAAGATGTAATTTGAACAATAAGTAAATAATTTTAATATGTTATCTACTTTTAGGTTAACAATTAATATATCCTTCAAGTTATTTTATCCTTGAGTGTATGAATGCTATAATTATTTTCTAAACTTCACTTTTTTATTATCTCTTCTCTTTATCGTCATGTTTTTTTACAGGAAACTGTGTCGTTCTAAATACTCATAGCACTCTGTTGGACACCTATAATTGTTCGAAATTTAAAAAAGGGTGTCCAGATGTACATTTTGACAGCGATGCTATATTAAAATGTGAGTAAAATATTGTTCTCCTTTCCCTTTTGAAATGGCAATACCTGTATATGTAAAAAAAAAAAAAAAATCAATAATTTAGGTGAGTGACTAATACATTTTTTCTTGATATTTTGTAGATCCGAGTTGTTTACTGATCGATACAAAAATACGGTGCTACATGGCGGAAAACACGTGTATAACTGTTTCTGGGTAACTTCTTTTCTACATATTATGAATGCTTTGATATCATTCATATTTTGTTCTTTTAAAACATACTTTAATTCCTTTGTTTTAGATTAAACTTTACAGCCAAATCGATTTTCAGCGAAGCATCAACTACAAGGTATTGGTTTTCCTTACAAATACATAAATAAAGCTTCTGTTTCAATTTTCTTGACAAAACACTTTGACCAATATAATGGCATAAGAGCATTTTATATTTCCTTTTATTTTTAGTAAACACTTATCATAACAAAAGTGTATTGCCTTCTATATATACAGTTGTAAGTTAAAAAAAAAGCAGATTTCTGTATTATTTCATAATCGGGGCTGACCTACTAGGAAACAGGATATCATTTGTGTCTTCTATCAAAACTCAGAAAAAGTAGTGTATAACCATTACAAAACAAATCGATTCCGAAATAATTCCGAAAGCTTAAAATAAACATTTCAAAAAATCGGAACTGATAAAGTCCAATAAAACATTAAAAATCTCAGATATTCGAAAACAGAGGATGTATCAAAAGCCATATAGGAGTTATTATTTCCTCTCGCATCAGTCACACCCACCATGCGCTCCTAGTCATGACACTTGGTCCATGAATTTCACAACTGTCGGAGAAGCAACCTTGCTTATCATAATCATGCATTCAGTTTATTAGCTAAATAACCAGAAGCAGAGGAGAAAACCTAATACATTTTCACTATCTATTCAATGGTGCCCCCAACCCCCCACTCCTGAAAAGGGGTCATGGAATTATATGTATAGGTACAATAAAGTATATCGATAAAACAAATTTTAAGAACTTCAACTGAAATCTATGGTTCATCGAAACCTTGATAAATGCTTTAAAAAAAATCCTCGGTTAATTTAGGAAAAATATACATTCTACGTGTATTTAGCTACCATGATAACTGTCCCCCGCTTGAAAAGTGGGGGATTTTAATTTTGGGTCTGCCCGTCCGTCCGTCTGTCCGTCCGTCCGTCTTTCTGTCTGTCTGTAACGCTTTCGTTTCCACACAATATCTCGAGAACCCTTTGAGCTTTCGGAATGAAATTTTGCATAGAAACTCCCTATGGACAAAAAAAGAAACCTATTGATTTTGAGGTCAACAGGTCAAAGGTCAAGGTCATAAATTTGCAAATTCTGTCTATTATAACACTTTCATTTCCGCGCGATATCTCGAGAACCCTTTGAGCTTTTGCAATGAAATTTTACATAACAATTCCTTGTGGCATAAGGAAGACCCCTATTGATTTTGTGGTCAAAAGGTCAAAGTTCAAGGTAGTAAATTTATACATTCTCTCTGTGTGTAACACTATCTTTTCTGGGCGATATTTCAAGAAGATTTTGAGCTTTTGCGATGTAATTTTATACCCAAACTCCCTGGGACCTCTCTCAACCATTTCAAAGTGTCCCGCCCCGTTTGTTTTATAAGTATTTTATATTGTATTACATGTTTCTATTTTTAGTACAGGGGCATGAGGAGAGTTGTTACGTATAAGACAGGTTCTCGGCAGACTTTATATTCTTATTACATCTCTTAGAACTGTTTAATAAATATCGAAAGTGAATATCTATACACGTATATGACTTCATCTTTGTATATAATTTTAGCAAGTTTAAAGTGTGAGAGGTCCCGGGTTCGATTCCCTAATAATGCATTTTCTTTTTTTTTCCGAAATACCTTTTCTTACTAAATGATAGTATTCAGCATGTGAAATGAAAAAAATTATGAGGTCTGGCTCGTACAAACTCATAAAATCATCATCACAGTGTGATAAATATTCCATATAAAAAGAATCTTCTATACACATAGTAAAGAATAAGCAATCAAATCTTTATACACACGTATCCATATTGGCATATTTTATTTGCTTCAGTATACATGTATGCATTTAATAATTCTACAAATTCAATCAGGGGAATCCGACACCCCCCTCCTCCCCGAATTGCGCATGGTTTACCTTTTCTCTAAGCGGGGGACACAAATTCTTGTACTATGTAGTCTGAGCCGATAGATTTTTAGAAGGAACATTAAAAACAAAAAATAAAGAAATGTTGAAAATTTTAGCTTGATACGTTCATTATTTCCTAAATTATTATAAAATAAGAACGACATTATATCATCACCCGGAGCCTTCGCCGTTTAGTTTTATGACGCCCGACAACGTCATTTTTTTTTCAATGTCTGCTTCTTCTACCCAATATACTTATTTTGATGAGATTCCCTTGAAATAAGTAAGGACTTCAACCCTAACCCTAACCCTAACCCATAAGTCTATACCAATTTTTTCAGGGGCAAAACTTTATAGAATGTTAGAAAAAGAAACCACTTTTTGACGTCATTTTCAAGCAATATGTGTTTGGATACTCCATGTAATATTTACGATAACATTTCATAGAACTTCCAGAATGAAGTAAAAATTCCACATTTTGTGGAACAATAGTGTCTCAGTATATACCCAAATTAACGGGATTTTTGAATGCCAAATATTCATATCAAAATAGTTTTCTTAGTTACACTTAGGTCGAAAAAAAACGTTGCTTTCGAGGTTGCACCGCCTGGACAAACTATTGCTTTCAAAAACATTTCTAATTTATTAAAAAATAAAATTTATGATTTGCGAGTTATTCTTTAGATAAAAAAGATTATACTTACCAGATATTTCAAAAATCATTGATATACAGGATGTTTCATAATACATGTTACATTTTGAATCTTCAATTTGACAAACACAAGAAAAAGATATTGCTAAGTGTTTATATCCTATTGATGCACGTATCCATAAGATTCATAATGTACAATACCAACTAAAACATTAAACACTGAACAAAATTTTAAACATGAAAGAAAATTGGCAAAATTTCCAAGTTGTGTCATTATTGCTACGTTAAATTTTCCAAACATCAAAAGCATACATTACATGCTCCAAATGATCTCCATTAATTCAACAACAAATGAAAGTTGCTTCTTGAAATTTGTATAAAACCTTGTCACATATTTTTGCTTAGACACTCATTTGAATGTCCATGTTCTTTCCTAGTTCATTCAACATCTGTGATTTATAGACCATGTACCTTAAGAACCCTTCAGAGAAGAGCCCAAAGATTGAGATTGTCAAATGCAGAGGTCAAAATCATTCCTTGCATTATTGAAAATTTGTATGCTGACTTCAAATCATGTTTAAAAGCTCATGAAAATGCTGATATTGCCAGAATAAATTTCTGAAAATATCTATCAGACACTTTTCTCAGACGTTTGCTACACAAAGAGTCTCCACTTCACCAATTAAATCTCAGCTTCTTCAAGTCTCAAGGCTCTCAGGAATATGTGTCATTTATCGCTTATTGTCCGTCCCTGTCCTTTAACCTTGTTACTACCCTTCTGATACGCATCTTAGGAAGCTTCCATTTTTTTTTTAGAAAATTTATTTCATCAATTTGTGAATAAATAGAATGAATATTGGCGACATGAATGAAAAAAAAACAGCTGTACAATTCAGTACGGAGTGGATAGGACAAGTCCATTTCGAGAAATATTCAAATTATGACATCTGCGTTTTTAGCCTGATTAATCAATGCAAGACCATGATTTCCTTGACTTTTTCACATGGAACAAAAATGCAGGATTTGGTGTCAAAAATGATATATAGTTTGTGAAAGAAGTATGATAGGTAAGAAAAATAATTAGATTTTAAAATGTCACAAATATTATGAAACACCCTGTACCTAAAGCGGTTTTAATTTTATGGCGGTAGTCCACTAACCTTTTGATACCCCCTCCTACACTTACACCTAGATGTGTGGACAAACTCTGAAATGTAAAAACCCTCTTCCATTTTTTTCATATTTACAACACCAGGCAATAAAGCTGGTTAGCCATTGGTTACATTTAGTCTATTGAATCCCTGAAATAGTAATTTGTTGACTGATGTCATGTTCGTATATGCAAGATTAAATATTGACAATTTGTAAAGGTTTGTACTTAGTAAAGCTCATTTTCTAAAGATTTTATTGTTTTTGTTCATATGTCTTGTTTGTTCTCCATACATATACACATTTTATTTCCTACCCGTACAGGAATTTGACTAGCATTCAATTGTAAGTTGCTAGGTTAATTAATGAACAAATTTATTTGTATATTAAGATATTTTTTATTTAACTCTGACGCACAACATATAGTTTCTCTTTATTTTAAAGAATACAAGGATGACGGTACCGTACCTCAACCCCGATGTTGGGTGCAGCTTTCATTTGCTTTTATAAGTAAAAAAGAAATCATATTTTTCGTTAAAATATATATTCGATGTTTCAAATTGTAAATCCATCATCTATTCTAAGATAATGCATGTGCTTGATTAATCATGTAAAGTGGTATCAAACGTTTTGATCTTATTCGAGGAATGAAGATTTGAAAACATTTACAATAAAAGGTGAGACCAGTTTGCAGCAATGACATATTGTTGTCAGTTAATTGTTCAGTTAATTTCAGAAAACAAATATTTTTCTACCCCTTTACTCTTGATCTTTGTTTTGTATATCTAATAACTTTCAATTTATCTTGAGCTCATTAGAACTCACAGTAAATGCATCGGTGTATTCGGAACAATGCATTGCTCGGAAAACTGGAGGAATAACTCAACTAAAATGAGGGGAAACATAAACCTCCTACGTTTTGGAGTTTTTCTTATTTGATCAGAGAAACTGTATCAACAAGTATATTTTAAATAAAGAAAAAACAAATATTTTTTTGCACGATATAAAAGATAGAGTTTTGTAGTCGGAACTAAGAAATGGAAAAAAAAATTAAATATATGGAGATACATTGTAACAAAAAACTATTCAAGCTCAAAAGTTCATAAAACAATTCAAAGAACAAGAGCAACTTTGGGCCTTATTTGGCCCTTAGAATTTCTGAAAAATCAAAACCGCTCACTTTAGGTTGCAAATGCAGTTTTTATCACTTGGAGTGTTGGTGACTACGTATCTATTAATTGTGACGTAATTTCCCGTCAAGTAAATGCATTATGACGTCATAAAATGCGTCAGTATCCTTATATCCTGTAAATTCCTTTGAAAATGACCTAAAGTTGAAGCATTTTTTTCAATATTTCATATAGACCACAACCTCTTATCCAAAATATGCAAATACATAATAAAAGCTCTGTTTCTGAAGATCAAAAATCATGTTTTATTTTTTGGATCGTGGGCTGTGCTCATATTTTAATTCTTTGCTGAAGGTAGTCAAATACGCATGTTTTCTGCAAATTTCAAAAACATTACAATTTCTCAAACCTGTTTTCCAATATCTGGATTCTCAAAAACGAAATTTTATTGTAGAATATGAAAGCACCAAGTGTTTACTTTATTTTGACATATGAAATGGGAAAGAGGGTGATAGTTAATTAATTGATCTAAGTACAGGGCCATTTTATGCATACGATGGCTCTTGTTTTAGGAGGGGAGGAAACACGGACCTCGAGGTGCCAAATCATGTCTAATGAGCTTTTTCTTTTTGCTTATAACCAAGGAAAGCGTTTTGTATTCTTTAAAAGATCACAGTCAAAACCTTGACGTGAAAATGAAAGCAACATACATATATGTTTACGATTGTCTTTTAGTCAGATTCAAAAATTAAAATAATTGTCATTGCTAGTAATAGCCAATGCTAAAATTGCTTCGACATACCAGTGCAATGCCTTTTTCATAGCAAACATGTAACATGATGAAAAAATAAGTGAATATACACAATTCAAAATGTTTTCTTAATAGTTTCTTTTTTCCCATAAAAGTTGTCTTAGAACTGTTGACAGCTATTTTCCTAATTCATATTTGGAAAATGTATACATGTAGTATCTTTCAGCTTGGATTTTTATAACTGATCAGATTTGATCCCTTGTTAATTTGTGAATATTGTTGAAGGTGTGCATACACGAAAACAAAAATCTTCCAGACATCTCTTCGCAGATAGCTGAAGTTGAGTTTGCATTTAGACGCAGCTTTACTATCTTGTCCTTATAATCTTGCAAATCGTGTGAACATCTTCATCAATTTTATCAATCTTTGCAAAAGCAAAATGTTTTTACACTTATATATACGCATTTTTTCTTGAAGCTAGCTAATTATCGATATTCATAATTGGATTTTAAAAGGGAGAACAAAGAAATCCATGACATATGCCTGGCAGCCATAATCATTTCAATATTCGTTGTACTACTCACTCCTGGTGTCATCTGGTTTATTCTGTGGATCAAGGGAAGGTGGAGAAAATGTGAGTTGTCTTTACAACTTCGATTAGCATTTATGTAACTATATTTTACATTTTTACACAATATCATAGAAAAGTATGCTTGTTTCAAAGTTAAAAAAAAGAACTGCTGTCGTGAGACAGCAATACCCGCACTAAGGTGTTTGACTCTAAATGCACTCTCCTTCATATATGGGGCTTAAGTAAGGAAAAAGTTAAAAATTAGACAATGCATTCATTCGGCAAATGGAGCATAGTATGTTCAGGTGACCATGTTACCCATCAGCCTCTCAAAGATATTTCATATTCTTAATTCATCACCAGTCTGAAACAACAGAATTTAACTAGATGATGTCAAGAGACAGTAATACCCGCACTAAGGTGTTTGCCTCTAAATACACTCTCCTTCAAATTGGGCTTTCCAAGGAAAAAGTCAAAATAATTTTATTATCAACACAATGCATATATTCGTCAAATTAAGCATAAAATTCTCAGGTGACCATATGACCTATGAGCCTCTTATGTGTATTTTATATGCTAAATTCACCAGTCTAAAAAACAGAATTTAATAATGATGTTTTAGATTTCGATAATTTTTTTTGCAAATAACTGGGACTTTTAAAATTTTCTGCTCGACAACAAATAATATTATTTCAGTAGAAAGCTTTTTTAATGAATTTATCAAAATATGCAAAATTCCCCGTATATGGTCAGGCAAAAAACCTTGAAAATCCAATCCAATCAATGCCCATACCAACCCCCCACCCCCACCCCACCACCACCACCACCACCAACCACTCATACACACGTTTTTTTTTCAATAGGCCTAGATGGCAAAGTTATGTTAAAACATCTTTTGTTCTGACAATTTAAAATTTGTTCTTGTGCTATACATGTTTCGATGTAAACACATTTTTGGTTATTTCTAGATCACATTGGTTTGCGTCACCCATTTTCATATCTTATCATATCTTGGGGAGTTGAACTATGTTCAATCTCCCATGGTCATTACGCATTTCACATGCGCAGTAATTTGTGTTGATTATATAGAGCAGAAAGCGAGGCTACTGTGTCGACCAATTTACTCCGATGATATTCAACAGAAAACATGCATAAACATCCGCCAAAATTGTTCATGTCATTTTCTCCTGAATTGATCTATTTTAATAATATGAAATGTAAGTAAATGTAATTATAAAATAATCTTATTTTGAATATTAAATTTCTTTCAAAGTAAAACTAAATTATAAAGAACCTCAGAAGTTTTTCGTTATGGAACTCATTTTTATTATAGCTTCATCTATAAACACCGAAAGATACGAAGGACAACGCTACATATTGACGGCAAGCGGTAATTCTAGTCTTCCCGATGCCTGACTCACGACGGTCCCGATTATGGATATTTAGCAATTTCTTTTTTACTGGTGCACAGAATTTATTCTAACTTTTCATGGATTTTTTCTTGGTTTAAATGAATTCATTAATGCATAAAAACTTTAGGAAACATGCATATTTATCACTAAATAAGTAGTTTCACCTGCCAAAAAGCGGTAAATGTAGTTCTCTGTTATAAATGTTATAAATGTTAAAACCAGAGACGGACACCGATGTTTTCGTAGAATCGTGATAATCATTAAAAACAACAAAATGAAATACATATACAATTTTTTTAATAAAAGGAAAACCTCATTTACATACCAGATAATTTGGACGCACACAAACTCTCACATATACCACAGACTGTTTTTATGTTTGGTCATTTTAAGAATATTTGTTTCTAACTTTGTATTGATTTTTTCTTCACAATATTCAAAAATTTAAGTTCTGACGTACACCCATGTATAATGTTCGTGTAATTGAAATACATTAATATTCACAGAGAAGTTTAAATAACAAACCTGTTAGCTCTTAAAAGGATGCTGTGTGGAAGTTCACATTTTATCAACATTGATATCATTCCTGTGAAACTGAAATTTTCATAACACATGGGTAAAGGTGCCAAGGAAAACTATATTACAAAATTGAAGAATTTAATGGATGAAATATTCATATTCATATGAATATAATGGCAGTGTCCATGTTTTGCAATGGGAAATCCAAAATATGTGTGGGATGTAAAAGTAATAGAAGGTGCACAACGGCAATAAGTTATAAAGATTCTTTGAAAATTTTATTCAGTGGTGTAAGACGAGTTTCGAATAAGAGATGGGTAAACCTAAAGCGTAACAAACAGATGGATGGACATCCTGATTAATAAATACCCTCCCGCTTTTCAAGCAGGGGGTATAAAACAAAGGGCTAATGTAGGCAGACAAGCATTATGACCCATGCATTTTTTTTTGCAATTCAATGTCTCTGAATATCTTTCTAAAGATCTTTGCAACACAAAAAATCTGAAACAGTTGTCTGTATATTGTTCACTCACTTAACCTCCCGATGAAAGATTTTATTTTGCACCATGTTCAACTCCCATGAGTACTTTCAGTACTTTGATTAGATTAAGCACCACTCAGCACACCTCCGCCGATTCCCACTTCATCTGATAAGGCGAAGAAATCAGCCAAGGTTTGCCGAATGAGATAGCACATGCTGATGGTGCAGTGTTGTGTGTATCAGTTGAAATAATTCATTTTGTGTTTTAGTTAGATTAAATTTCATGAGGTTGGCAGGACTTCAGTCAAAAAAATGAAAATCCCAGCCCAGACATTCCTGGCAAGTAAAGAAAAACAATTACAAAAAAACCCTAAACAAATAAACAAAATAAAAACAATGATAGTGGGGTCCATGTTTTCTGAGGGGAAGGACGTCCAAAGTCATTTTTGTTTGCTTCAGTATATACATATAGTCCTTTTTAAATAACAGTGTCAAGTAGATGTGCATTAGGGTTTCGGAATTTTCATTTTGCCCTGGGTTGTCAAATGGTGGTCGAAAAATGTATATGTCAAATGCGAAAGTCATATCTCTTCTCAATCAAAAGTTTTAAGGAAATGCAACATTTTTGAAAAGTAGGTTATTGGTTTTCACAAGTATACAAAGCAAACTAAATATATAAGCAAAACATATAAACATATATATATATATATATATATATATATATATATATATATATATATATATATATATATATATATATATATATAGGTAAATCTTTTTAAAAAAGAAACACGAAAACCTTTAGTTTAGCTTAAGGGGGGACCTATGTCCGAAAAGTCTTTGTGTGAAATTTTCAAAACTTTGACATTTCTTTCCTGACCACTTGCTTTTAATTTTTAGGTATTGAAAACAATACCTTTATGTGCTTATTTTTACACAGGAGCACGTGCAAAAACAGTGTGAAATGCTAAAAATAGATTATTTTCAGGCATTCTTGTTTTACTCCAAATATGCGCTTAAAAGAACCAAAAATGTCAAATCACAATCGAAATCAACATGTATTTAATTTATATGACTTGTATCTTTAAAATGAAGGCAAATTCATTGTAATTCATCTCGCATGAAAAATTATAAAGGAGCACAATGTAAGTGTCACCCCGTTTTTCTTGTCGTATTTTTTACAATTCCGACATGCATAACAGGTAATATCTTAAAAAGTCTTTGTGTGAAAATGTTGTAATAAATATTTTTTGAAAGAAGTCACCCCTCTCTTTAATTTAACAAAGAAAAAAGTATACCTTTATTATATAATAAACGAGAAATATGACGTTTTCTTTTATTTTCGTTCTCTTCTGTCATAAACATTGACCTTTCTGCACTAAAAAAAGGTAAGTTAGCACTGACAAACATCTGAATATAAATCTATTTTGCAAAAAACGAGTATTTTGTTTTGATAAGAAATAATTTAAACAGATAAACTCTTTTCTTCTTCATTCTAATCATTCTGCCTCCCCCCCCCCCTTTCCCCGTCAACAACCAACACCTAATAGAACCTAGGAATGACATAATACAATAAAATCTACATACACTATAAATCAATAAAATATAGGTACAAGTACATTTCTTAATTTCTTTTTAGTTTTATCCAGAAAATACAATTAATGGTAATCATAAGATTAAACATATTTCCCTGATTAAAGCCGCTGTCTTTGCTGAATTTTATCTTATAAATTTTGCATTTTTATATCAGCATATCATGGAGGTATATCTTCACAACTGAAATTGCTATGAATTATCAACCAAAGGAAGAGAATTCTAATATTAACAAACTCCATAAATCAAATAAAACTGTTATAAATGATGAAAAAAAATTCCTTTTTTAAACTGTGTACGTTATTGATTAATAACAATGTTATGCCTATAGTCACAGTTGCAAAAGTCAGCGGGAAAAAACAAACGTCGCTATTGTGACGTCACATAACGCTGCTTTGACGTAGAACGACATAGGTCCCTCCTTAAGCGCTTTCATTTCAAATCTTCAGAAGCTTTATAATACGTAACATAGCAACATAACGTCATAACGTCATAATAAGCGGAACATTACATACAAACGTCTATTGTGACGTCATAGTCAAACTTTGTGGGAAAACTGTAGAATGAAAATAATAAGTACAATTTTTACAACAATTATGCCCAATTGTTCAGTCTAGGTTTGAACAAATGTATGAAATGTTTTTCTTTTTCACGTCTCTGAATATAATCTTACAAAAGAAGAGCAAAAAGCTTTAAATGACTTACATAATGACGAAAGTATCGTTATCAAAGAAGCCGACAAAGGAGGCGGAGTAGTCATCATGAATAAAACATATTACGAACGTAAGATTTTGAATATGCTACAGGACCCTAACTACTATGGGAGTATTAATGCAAATCACGGGACAAAAACTTTAGCAAAGATAAAACAACTTGTCAGTGGGCCATCCTCGGGAGATATAACTGCTAAGGAGAAAGACTATCTCATAAACTTTGAAACAAAAGAGAGTCAATTTTACGGATTACCAAAAGTACACAAGTCATCAGAAATCAAAAACGCCATACAGGCTCAGAGAGGAGAGTATATTTGCTGTCTAAATCCTGAAGATCTCTCTTTT